GCAGAAGACCCTGGTTTGAATCCTAGCACCCACATGGCAGCTAACAACTGTCCAGTCACTCCAGTTCCAGGGGATCCGACAGCCTTGTCTGTCCTCCACTGGCATTGCATGACACGGGTGCACTTACCTACACAGAGGCAATACACGCATACACATAAAATAAAAATAATAAAGAAAACTTTTTTTTTTAAAGCTACAACAGGGCTAGGGGTGTAGGTTGGGGTATAGGAGAGACTGTGTTCCATCCTAGCACAACAGAAAAACCCACAAAATAACACCAACAACAAGAAATCCAGCAACAGCATAAAATGCAATCCTTTTCACCACGCCCGGCTCCTAAATAAATAAAAATAGTTTTTAAAAAATAAAATGGGAAAAAAGAAAATGGCTGCTGCAAGATATAATTTTTCCAGTTAAAGCCCATTGCTTTAAAGAAAAGCACTTGTTAAAAACTCCTTGCTGAACTTTGTAGGGTTGAGTAGGAGGCATGAAAAGGACAGAGAGAAGCAAGACCTCTTCAAGTCATAAGCTGGAATCCCTGAGGGAGTGTATCACAAAGGTGCAGAAAATACTAATACCTCACAACTTGGTGAGTAGCTTGGTGAGTCCCAGGTTATGTTCTAAACTCTCTGCATGGTCACACATGGAATCCTCATAATAGTGCTGTGGAGAAGGTGTTAGCGTTTACTCCATTTTACATATGGAACGAGACAAACCTACTCAAGGTCACACATCTGATATATGGCAGCACTGAGCCTTCGACCCCAGCAGGCTGACTCTAGATGGTGGCTGTTATCCACTCTGCAGACCTGCTTTTGAAAGATGTCCACTAATCCAACCAGCAGCCTAGAGAGCTGCCAGGTGGCTAGGAAGCATTCAAGCAGCACAAGCAACAACAGCCTTCCATTATTCTTTTACAAAGATGATTGCATTTAGTACAAAACTGAGATATGGGGAGTCATCTCAGTGTTAGGTTTCACAAATTCCCATCTGTGCAATCACAGCTCACCTCATCAGCCCTATATCCAGTCTCAAGAAAGAACAGAGGGCAGGACTTGAGGGAGGCTAACTCCATATCAAGACTTAGACAGGTATCATGTATAGACAACTTGGGCAGTTTAATCAACTCGAATTTAGAAAGAAATCTCCACATGAATCCCTATGATTGCAGATGATGAACATTATAACCCAATTCATCACTTTGAGCTAACCTATTGCCTTAACAAGGGCAGCATATTAACCCCTTTTGGTATACAAAATTATGTCTATGACCAGATAAGAATTCAAAGTAAGAGTAAGATCTCAGTGAATGCTACGAAATGCTCTCAAGGAAACTGCATTTTGGAACAAGCAAATTTAAAAACAGCTGTCTTCATTTTCTTATACTTGCCTTAGTTGCCAATAAAAGTATTCATATTGATGAAGTACTAGATTTCATGTTAACCAGACAATATGCTGTGTGTATGTTTATTACAATACCAGTTCGTCCTAGGGAAATTGAGGTGATAGAAGTGCATTTAGGATGCAATTCTTACCTCTAAGAAATTTGGAATTTATTCATAGAAATAAACCACGTACTTTCATCTACACAGTTCAAGGGGCTTTGATTCATACTAGAAATATTTTTAAAAAATAACAAGGAATGTATCACACCTGTAGGAATGATGTGACAGAACTTGGAGGAAATGGTGCTCTTCAAGGATATATAGGAATTTGGTAAGGGGAGAAGGAAATCCCAAGCTGCAAAAAATTCTGGTGGCATTTATGGGCAATGACAGAACAGCCTGACTGGTATAAGAAGTAGGTTGTTATGGGTAGAATTGTGTCTCCCAACAATTGGTATGTTGAGACCCTGTCCTGTTTTGAAAGTGAAATGTCCCCCATAGACTCACGTGTTTCAGCACTTAGTCCCTAACAGATGGCCCAGTTTATGAATGTAGAACCTTTGGGACATGATGCCTAGTGGTAGACTTGGAGATGGTCCACTAAAGGTGGTCCTTTGAAGGTTTGAGTTATATCCAGTTCCCAACAAGATATCTGTTTCCTGACCCACCAAGATCTAAGGAATCCTGGCAGCATACTCCCACTGCCATCTACTACCATGCCTTCCCCATCATGATGGTCTATACCCTTTAAAACCATGAGTCAAAATAAACTCCTTCCTCCATTAAACTGTGTCTGGCAGGTATTTTGTTATAGCTATGAGGAAAGTAATATAAGCCTTAAATCCCCCAAACCACAGAATGTAACTATATTTGGAGATGGGGCCATTTAAAAAGTATTTAAGTTAAAATAAAGTCCTTGAGGTAGGCCCTAGTTTAATCTGACTGGCTTCTTGTAAAGAAGAAGAAATCTGGAGACAAAGAGAAAAGTCATGTGGGGGCGTGTGTGGGTGAGAAGATGATGATCAATAAGCCAGGAGCTGAGATGATGATCAATAAGCCAGGAGCTGAGAAGCCCCAAGACAAACCAATTCTGCAAACACTCTGATCTTGGGCTTTCAACTCCAGAAAATAAGTTTTTATTTAAGCCATGTACTTTGTAGCTGGTTGACACAGGGGTATAAGGAGACAAAGGGATAAAACACTGGATGTGTTGATTTGCCTAGACCAAGGGCCATTGTTTGGTTAGATAATGTCCCAGGCATGCCTGCTGCTGGCCACAAGATGACAGGGCAGGAGATGTATCAATTTAGTAATAAACTGGCATTTATCCCATGAGCTGCCAAGACTACAACACATGGAAGCAGCTCTGTAAGTGTTTATTACAAAATGAATAAATGCATAAAGCAGATGCCAGTACAAGTTGCAGGTAGAAAGTGACATTTTACAAAGGTACCCAGGGAATAAGACATTCGTACCTCATTTCTCTAGGCTGTGTTACCCACTTACTTTCCTTTATTATCACCTAGTTTAGTAAATGTGATTTTTATTAGTGTTTGGCTTCCCTAACTAAAGTTTCTTAAGGAATAGACTGTTTATTCATTCATTCAGCCCTTACAACGGTATTGTGAACCCCTAGTAAAATATGGTGATTAAAAAAGCATAAGGGCTTGGTGGCACACCTTTAATCCCAGCACTCGGGAGGCAGAGGCAGGCAAATCTCCGTGAGTTCAAGGCTAGCCTGGTCTACATAGTGAGTTCCAGGACAGCTGGGCTACAGGGAGACCCTGTCTCAAAAAGACCAAAAAAAAGCATAAGGGGAGATTTTCTTTCATGTTGAGTTCTTAAACTTTATTAAATTAATTCAGGACTCATATTTAAGTAATATTAAAGAATTACACACTACATATAGATGTTACATTATAAGTAATATTTAAACTTGCATATTATGGGGACTGGAGAAATGGCTCAGCAGTTAAGAACACTGACTGCTCTTGCAGACGACCGGGGTTTGAAACCCAGCGCCCACATGGCAACTAACAACTGTCCATAACTCCAATTCCTGAGGATCCCATGCCCTCTTCTGACCTCCTTGGGCATTTTACAACATGAGTGCACCTACATACATGCAGGTATAACACTCATACACAAAAAACAAAAATAACACATGTTATGCTTCACAACTAATAATGAGTTCTAAAATGTATCGTTTTGTTTGCTTCTCACAATTTTGTCAGATAGACAGAAAAGGTCTTGGACTGGGATCCATTCCATTGATGTTGAAACTGAGTTTCCAAGAGGTTATACATAGCTCACTTAAGTGCAACTGCGACTCACATTCTGTTCTTCTAAGAACTTATCTAATTCCCCTTTCACTGTGCCATATTGTCTTTCTAATGGCTTTACTGAGTTATTATTTAATAATTATACTATGAGCCAATAAAAGAAATGGCCCAATAAAGAATATCACTGTACTACCTACTGAATTACCATTGAGGGCATTATACATTAGTGATCAGAGTCCTTTGTACTAAAAATCAGCAAGAATTCTATGCCAAAAACAAACCTGGATATCCTGAAAATTTGATGTTTTCTCTTATTAGACAGAACCCTATGAATTATAACATTTTATTGTTTTGTCTTTCAAGAAGCATGGAAATGGAATTAGGACTTAATTATAATAATAATCTAACTTCTGGTTCAATTACAATCTTCTCTGTGCACGATTTTTTTAATCTTTATTTTCACTTTAACTTATTATGGATATGGATACAGAGCTCTGATTATTAGCTCTTTAAAAATAAGCATGATAGAAAACATAGGCAATAAGCAATAACTAGTACTAATTAATGTTGATCATATGCTAGAGACCATCTTTGCAGTTTACACATGATAATTCATTTCATGGTCAAAAAGCAAAATATCACATTGCCAGAAAAACCAAATGTTACAATATGAAATACCGAAATCAGTATTCTGAATTGTGAAAGAAACACAAGTGCCTTCTCCCATTTCCCCTTCACTCCTATGAGAGCCTCTACCACCTCTCACCCTGGTTACTTCTATACTATCTGGAATCCCTGCTTTCACCCTCTCCCCCCCCCTTTTTTTAAACAAGAGTAAGATTACATCATTCCTAAGCCCCAAACTCTCCAATAATTCCCCATCTCATTCACACTAAATGCCAAAGTCCTTTAAAAAAATCCAAAAGGCCCTTCAAGATCGGTCCTCATTCATGTCCCCTCATCCTCACTCTGCCCCCAGCACACTAGCCTCTGCCTAGTCCAGGCATCTTTTTGCCTCTGAATCTTTGCATTTGCAGTTCCCCAAGGCTGGCACATTCTTCCTTCAGATGCCTGGGTGGCTTGCTTTCTCACAAATATCACCTTCTCCATGAGGACTTCTTGATCCCCTTTCCTGTCCCTCCAACATTCTCCATCGTCCTCCTTGCTTTATTTCTCCTGAGTACATTTAATTAACATATTGT